GTCATACTGCAGTCCACAGCTCGTCACAAGATTAGAAGAAAGACTCTGACCCCCGATTCAGATCACATTTATTATATCCTATTTCATTGCTGACAAACAGAACATATGTTTCTGAGTTACAAATACTGAGAGGGGCCAGAGGACGGTATGGATCTTTTGTGGAGGAAGCTTCCTGTTAAGACCCTTCCAGGAACACGTCCCATGTCTATGTAGTAGACACCCAGCCAGCCCTCCCTGTTCCCACACTGGCTTTTCCAAGATGTTCTTAGATTCTCTCCCCTCTGTGTGCTAGATGTGACAAAGGAGCCCTGAAACTGAGGATTTAGACACTGGTGGTTGACAATCCTGTGGGTGTCCTGGTACATGGGAAAAGAGATGGAGCTCTGGCCTGAGTTAGTTGTCCCTGCAGACCATTCAGAATAGGAGCCCTGTTAACTGTGCTGTGCTCTCTCTTGGACTAGACTCATAGGCAGGTCTAATTTTGGACTCTTGAAATCATTATTTACTAGGAAGTTGAGGCACACAATTTGAGTTTGGGGTGATGATGGAAGTCTAACCTGAGACCATTTTTTTTCATTAGACTTCTTCTGAACCACATCCACACCAGGATTCTCACATCTTCTATGGTATTCTGAGAGCCAAAGCAACCGCAGTTGAAAGCCTATCAGCATATAGGGACTGATGCTGGGAGGTGTCTCTATTCTTCCATGGAGAATAGATGACTCCAAGAGTTTAAGCTATATCAGCTGCATGCTAAAGCTTGGACGCACAGACCTATTGCCTGCTGCCACAGCCATGGGACATAGCATGCTGATGGAGAGGGAAAGGCACAGGAAGATCTGGAATGGCTGCCTCTAGATGTGTGTGGAGAAGGAGAACACTCACTTCTGAAGGGCCTCTTCTCTATCTCATCCCAGCCTCTGATTCTGCTCTGAATCTAGTTCTGGGAGCCCCCTCTCAGGATCTCACTGGTTAGGATCTCAAGGAGAACTCAGAGTGGCATGCATACATGAAAGAAACAAACGTGCCTGAACCTGTAGCTAGCCCACTGCTCTCTGCCTCTGTCTAGCCGCATGTCAAGGTGGTGGAGGTTACCTGACCTGAACGGGTATAGGTGAACAGGAAGAGAAACAGAGGCAGGAGTCAATGGGCTGATCAAAGTTTTGTGGGGAGCAATAATTACATTATAAAGAAAAAGAAGATTGAGGATTTCTTAGAATCTGAAGGCAGCTATTCATGGGCGGGTAGAGAAGTTGCAGGAAGCAGGGTAAAATATGCCCTTTAGGATTGCTTCATCAGTTGGTGCTGACTCCTTCACAGAAGGTCTCATCCTCTCTGCCTTGACAAGAGTACATTCTGCTTTATTAGTTTTCTACCTTTCACAAGAATCCCTACTTATTAGTCAAAGGTGTCATCTGAATGTTGAGTTGCAATTCATTGAATCCTCTGGAGGGTCTGATTGAGCTGACAGTTATATGCATTAGATACCTTTTTTGAAAAAAAAAAAAACCTTTTTAAGTTATATACTTTTCAAAAAAATATCTAATACATTTAACTTATGAAGTTTGATTGTTGTGTACATGTTTAATAGACTGGAATAATCTTACAGGTTCTCTGGGGAGAGGTAAAATGGGTGAGTTTTTGGAATAGCACATGTCAAGACCCAGCCAGGGATTATAAGACACTTGTGATAGCAGCCATTGAACCTCTTAGAGTAACTCCTTCGCATCATTTCCCAAATATATGTAATATATAAAATATAAAAATATATATAAAATATAATATTACATATACTACAGGATAATATAATATTACATATATTACAGATTTATCATCAAGGTGCTTATTTATGACCCACTGTGCAGTGTCTGAGGGAGAAAGAAGAGCACAAGCATCTAAACCCTTATAATTGGGATTTCAATAACTTGAAGCAGGCATTGGGCAAATATTGAGAGAGGAGAAAAAGGAAGAAGAGATGGAGGGAAGAAAGGGAACAGAGGAGAAAAAATGGAAGTATTAGAGGGAAGCATATTTCCTGAGCATAAAGTCATTCCCGATATATCATGAGCAGCAAATTAAACAATCCTTCAGCACGAATTTTGACAAGAAAATTTCATTAGGGATTTAAATCTCTATGGAAGCTCAAGTTGCTGCATTAAGATATGAAAATTGTGCAAATATTGTTCCTTAGAATGATGTTTGCCGCAGGTCATTGAGTTTCAGTCAATGAAATTTAGAGTGATAAATGTCCTGTTGAAAATAACTGGAGGAGGGAGGGTTCTGGGAGAGGAGGAAGGAACACTGCAGTTGGGAGCGCAGGCCGCCCTGGAGTCATTTGGAAGAGAAGTAAGACTCCAGTATTTTATTAACTAGTTGTGTGACCTTAAGCAAGTTTATTTAGCATCTCTGAGGTTTAATTTCCTCATCTACAAAATGTGGGCAATTTGTACTATATGCCCTGCTGGCCTGTGACTCGGAAGATTTACTGAAATAATCCAGGTAAAACCCTTTGGCACAGTATCTGGTACCCAGGACATTTAAACACACAAAGTAATTATGGGTGGGTTAAGATTCATCTGGAATTGACCCTGTCAATCTCTGGGACAGATGTTTAGAGGTACCATTATTGCCACTGCCTGATGCTTGGGAGCTGAATAAATCTGCCAAGGTCACATTGGGGTGAATGTTATACCAGATTCATACCTGTTTGTGTCACTAGTCTGTGGGGAACTCAGAGACTAAGTCATATTTGCATAATTTTGAATTAACAGACTCTTATTGATTAGTAGCTGCTCAGAAAACATTGATAAAATAAATTAATGATTTAAAAAATAAATCAATGTATACATGCATGAATGGAAGATATAATTTTTTTTCCATTTAAACTGTGTCTCCTGGACTCATCCATGGATTCTTAATGCTTATTTGCTTTTCTATTTCAAGAAATCCTGGCATTTTGCCTCATATCATCATAAGCCTTTTTTTTCAGAAAACAGGAGTAAAAGAAAAATAACTATATAATTCTGTAACCCAAATACTAAAAGTCCCCTTGGAGCATTTCAGCATATTTCTGTTTTACCTTTGAAAATAGGATCTTCCTTTTTTGATTTTATAAAAATTATTTTCTATTTTGTGGTTTCAGTTAATAGAAATATTTCATATAGCTGTCATTTTAATGTCAAATTAATACAGCAGGCAATATATGTGATATTATATTTTACTTAAAGTTTTTGGTTATTGCTATTTAGAATATCCCATGTTTTCACCATTAGAAGTATCACAGAACTAAATAAATAAATAAATGATATGCATGTAAAAATAGTCACTGTGACAGGAGGATCATCCTTCTCTGAGGAATACACAGTCATTAGTGGAAGGTTTCACCTTTGCTTTTTTGCTATGATGGATTATGATATCTAATTGGATAGCAAAATTTGATTCAAAATTTAAGGAAGTTATTTTACCTACTTTGTATCACATGCAAAGCCAACTATTCTATACTCTATAGACATTTCTCAGTTACATGCAAAAGAAAGAAAAAGGAGGCAGAAAGGAGGGAGGGAGGGAAGGAGGAAGGAAAGAAAATAATGAAGAAAGGGAAAGATGGAAAAGAGAAAAGGGAAAGGAAGCTATGAGAATGAAAAACAATACGAAACTAGACATATTAGGGAATTTTCTTTCTAAAAAAAAACATAAAGGAAGAATCGCCACGCCCATTTTTGCATGCTATTCTAATATTCCAAATATGTCTATAACCACAAACCAAGAATAGCTTTTCAGAAACTACCTTAATAAGCAACCACAATTACATGATAAATAAAAAAGGCAACATAGTCCCATAAGACCATGGTATTTTGATAATTCCTAGAGAACACTGCCCTACGTTTCAGAGAACATAGGTATCCATGGCTGTGCTGGTAGCTGGCTTTTCAACAACCTTCACTTTCTCAAGGAGAGTTAAATTTGCAAATAAGAGTGCTAATTACTGCATCACAGGCTACCTTGTCAGAATAAAACTCATTTAAATCAAAGTAAACAAAAACTTCTTCTATTTTTAGGAAATTTGCATTCATCTCAGGACATGTAGCTGGAAATTAGGAGCAGAGGATGAAAATACATTTTGAAAAGATGTTGAAAGATAGCTAGACATGTTCCTTATGCCACAAAATCCATTCAAACCAGCAGGACAACCTCTGTCTATAGTCAATACAAAATATTTTGCGAAAATCCGTGTTATACATGTTCAATATTCCGAAAAACATAACATTGCCTCTAGGATTTGGAAATGTCTCTCATTATCCTCACTGAACTAAATTGTTGTTCAATAAAAATCCCCTTTCTTTAGTAGTGATTCAATTGTAGCAGCCATTGAAAGAGTAGAAAACTACTTATAGATAAAATAAAGATTTGACATTTAACCAGAACTGGGCATTTTAATATAGGAAGCTATTTCTAAATCCATACAGCAACAGAAACTAATGATTAATAATATTTCTTAATGGCAAATTGTCTTCTTTTGTGAATGAAGGAAAACGTAATTCATTGTTAGCAAAGAAACTACTTATATGCAAATAGATATTGCTCAGAACAGTGTTTTAAAAGTTTGTTTGAAACTTATACATTTTTTGATGCACCATTTCTTAATTCAGTAAGGTACATCTTTTGGGTGAACAAGTGTGTTCATTATTCTATATTCCTAACTTTGGTATGGGGTGATTTGGAGTGAGAGCTAAGAGCTAAGGCAGCAGGGTCTGCTGGGAGTTAGTTCCCATCTGAGATTAGAGGAGGTGTGGAATCCAGAGGAAAAGTCCCACTAGGGAAGACCTTGGCCAAGTAAGCTGGAAGCATGCTTTGAATATTGACATTTGTTACCATCCTCTGTCCTTGGCAGCTTTCAGAGACACAGGGTGAAATACAAGCTTTAGCAGAGTTAACAACCATTGCTTCAAGTAAGGGCTAACTATATATTACATTAGAGAGAAGAAAAATGCTTGACCTACTTGGATCCGATAAGATGGAGTCAGTTTTCGGCAGAAATTGATCACAACGGACTCCTTGGTAGCCTTCTTTGCACCTGAGGAAAAAGGATAAATGATAAATATATGCATGGGCTTGTAAATAAGTAAAATAGCCATGAAGTACATAATGGTGAGAACAGTATATTCATGCTTTTGCATTATCTGATTCAGTTTGTTTCTGACACCAACAGGAATGTTCTAGATTTTATTTTTGTGCAAAAAGTTAAAAAAGAAAATTCAGGTTTCTTTTATAGTTATATATGCAATACTAAGGGACAAATTGAATAGGATTTTAAGATGCTCTTCTCATTGATGCACATAATGGTTTCTCCATATTATAATTCTGGAGGTAGGGATACCCTTTTTTTAAAATGTAACACACTTGTCTCCAACATGCATTCAAAAACATATTGCAAATGCAATTTTCCTTATAAAAAAGCATTTTCTTATATCACACATCAGCCATTTTGGCTATTACATTTTCCATTTCCTAGTGTTTTATTAGTTTTTTCACTTGCTAATTTTACCGTTTTTAATTTATTTCTTAGCTATTCTTCCCATCAGTGTCACCTAAACCTCTTTGTCAGAAAATATCAGCATTTCATCTGGCAAAGTCTGAGAGTCATCTATAAGCTCAGGTTTTTCTCTCCCATTCTCTTTGATATTAAACAAACATTGCAAAGTGGCAGCTTTATGCCAGGCATAATACAAGGCAACCCTCCTGAGGTGGGGCACAATTTAAATGCCAAGAATTCGCCTGGAAGCACTCACAATTAGGTATGACACCTCAGGCCACAGCTTGCTCATTCAGGGCTGCTTGGCCGCCTTAGACAGCAACAGCACATCAGCTGGCAGTTAAGGAACAAATGCAGTGCAGGCCCCAACGCCTCCTCTGAACAGTCTCCTTAAGTGGGAAGGTGGCATTTACTGGTCTGTTTGAAGCTTAATCTGTCATGCTTGAGTTAAGCAGGGAAGCATCCATTGTCGCTTGTGGGATGAATCTGTCCTACTTACAGAGGAGGAAATTGTGCCACTGGCATAAAAATCAGATTTTAAAAAACTATCCTGTGGTTGTTAGAAATCTATGAAATTGATTAAAAAAAAAAAGAAAGAAAAAATTCAGAGAGACCGGTGTATTAGAGATGAGGGCCATGGATTCTTTCCTTAGAATATGCTTTGTTTTCTCAGTGTAATAAACTATTAGGTGAGGTTTACTGCAACTAGAGCAGCAATATTGAAAGGCACCTAGGCAATGTCTCTACCTTTCATTGTGAGCCAAATTGGAATTCAGATAATCAGGCAGGCTCTCCACAGCATCTTTTTAAGCCTGGCACTCTGAAGTGTATTTGGCAATTTTCCTCATAGCCTAAGAACAAAGACCTCTGACATATGGATATCTCAGGATCCTCATATGCTATCAAAAATGATTATTTATGCAGATGTATCTTAAATATGTATTTATTGTACTTGAAAACAGGAAACATGATTCTGGTTTTATAATGGTAGAAAGTTAGAGAATACTTAGGACTAAAACACACTCGAGATGAAAAAAATAAAATTCTATTCTCTGGAAGCTGCCCTGATATTGCTACAGCATACTATTGAGAATTATCTGTAACACAGAACTTTTTCATTTTCTCATGATGGTGAGTTATGTCCTGGGTATGCATTATTGTGTGCACTCATTTTCTGGAGATTTTATTTTCAACACACGTGGGAGATTTTAAGGACCCTTAATCTTTGTGTCTTTATTTAATATGAAATGGTACCCCTTGGGGAATGGTAGCTTTTAAGAAGAGGTACTGCGTTTGGTTTGTTTTGCTTTTTAAAGTTTCTTTGCTTAGGATGCATTATTCCATTTGTGCATGGGAAATAAAATAAGGAAATATGTTTGAAATTTTTCCAGTCTTAAAGTGATTTAAAGTGTATGAGGCCAACCCAAGTGTTCAGGGCTTATGGGGGTATCAGGAAAATCACACAGCAAGTATACTCCTGCTGTCTTTGTACCTGTGGGCTGCAGATAATAAAGCATGAGGATATTGCCACAGCCTTGTGCAGGCTAAGAAGCCCACCAGGAGCTGTGTGGCCAGTTTGCAGCAAACCCTGCTCCTTTATGAAGGAGGCAGGAGTCACTGTTAATTGGTACCAGGTTTGAAGAACAACATGTTAAAATTCCCATTTAAAAACCACACCATATATCACCTTGATAAGTTCAGACTCATCCAAATGTGAAGATAGAATGTTGGTAGCAGGCAAGGCCAATGAAGGAGATTGAATTTATGACAGTACTAAAGAGAAGATGCAAAAGAAAAAATAATCTTCAAATGTACTTCCATTGAATAATTGCATTTGGCAGACCTTCCTGCAGTGTGATAAGCACATCTTTTGAGATATCTCACTGCATTGCTCGTTTTATTTTTGTTAGTTTGGGTGGTGGTGAGAATATTTTTGCTATTTTTCCCCTTTGAAAGACACAAGTGTAAATTAAGAGGAATTTATGTCCTAGAAAGTTCTAAAGCATGTCAGAATTAATAACAATAAGTACACATGCAATCATTACTGGTAAATGCTTGTATTCTTCTAAGTACATGTCTGGCCTGATCTAGGCTAATATTCTATTATTTCTCTACTGGGTCTTGCTTTTAAGATTCTACTGAATCCATCTACTATTTTCTGGGTTTCTTTCCACCCTTCTGCAGAATCCTTAAATCACAGCAAACATATTAAAAGTTACGATGTAGTTCATTTGTTTTACAAGTAAGTTGTGATTCTACAACTACAAGGAAAAGGGAAATGCTTAAGACAAGAAACAGCCAGGATTGACAGACAGAGAGAGGGCTCAGGATGTAGTGTGGTGGTAGAGTGCTTGCTTGCCTATCATGAGAGGCCTTGGGTTCAATCTCTTGTATGGCATTTTAAAAAAAAAGTTAGGAGAACTATTGTCAATGGTGAAATAACCACAAGCAATTGAGAACTGAGGCATTTTTCTCTGCAAAGAATTAGCTACAGATCCTCTGTGTTTTCTCTCAGGTGAAGGCGTTATTCCTTTGCAAACCAGTAAATTCTTAAAAATGCTGTGTTTTTACATTTCCAAATTTAAAAGGCAACAGGGAGGGAGGGAATCATTGAGGCTACAATATCCATAAGCAGAGTAGGACCAGTGAGAGGTTGTAGGGCAACTATGAGAGAGTCACCACAAAATAAAAGATTGGTCTCTAGCAATGAAAGAGAGGGTGTGGGGAGAGGGCTGGAGACTCTCAAAGCCAGTGTAAGCAACAGAAAAAAGTTCTTCTCTTGATGAACCCTGGGGTCAAGTTGCAGACAGGGAGGGCTCTCCTTTCTGAAGGAACAGGGCCAACATGTAGTTTCAAATGCAGACATCAGTTTTTGACTCCTTACATCATCCCCACTTTGCCCTCACTTGTCCAGCTGTGTCTGAAATAAAAAGCATCCCATTCGATTATTTTTTCTCTTCTATAATGTCCCCAAGGAAAAGCAGAGTAGTTGGCTTCAGTGAAAACTTTTAAAAGGCAATCCTGAGCAAAAGAGTAGACGAGAATAATAGTGTCCGAGATGAGAAAATACAAAATGCATCATCCTTGGCTGGAATTCAATTCTCCTTTTATCTGGTGTGGTAAAGCAGAAGCGGTAACATATCACCTGGCCTCATGAGGAAGACCTCAAGGGAGAGACTTAAAAATGATCAGGCCACATGCTCATGTTTCCCCGGAAATCTCCATTTGTTGTCTATATGAAAGTGATTTGACCGTGGCAGGCAGCCCATGCTGCTGACTTCCCACCATTCCCTGCTCTTCTCTTCTAATTCTCATATGCCAGCTTATTTTTTGAAGTCTATTTCGTGAATCAGTTAGGGCTAATCATATTAAGACTATGAGTGAAAATCAAAGGTCTCTCAATCATTATTAACGAGCTCCCCATACTTCAGATTATTCTTCAATTTCTCCTGGTAGGAAAACAAAATAGAAGTACTTAAAACCTGTTTCACTGAATAAACTGTATTATTCTCTTGCTCCTCATCTATTAGTTTCCTGGTCATTTACTCATGAGCGCAAGGTGTTATCACCACTTGCCAATAACTAAGAGGATTACTTAGTGTTTGTATGGATGTACTTTAAGTAAATTATTGAATACTTTCGCAGCTCAACCCAAATAAAATACATATGATAAGAGGAAGGAGGAAATATATGAAGGATACAAATCTGTTCAAATGCTTGTTTCAATTCCTGTGTCATACCTGGTCTCTGCAAAAAAATTTTCCATGAAGTGTACATGCTTTCTTCTTTGACCTTGATTTTAGACATAAAATTTTAAATAGCAGATATCAATTAGTGTTCTGAAGGAAAGGATGGCAGATAAACTGTATGGTTAGCTTCCTAACTAGACAAACTTTATCCTGAGGAAAAAGTGGCCTTTCCTTTTGAATGTCACAGGAAACAGTACTTAGTAACTAATGTATAAGCCTGGCAATTTTAAGGGGTGTATGAAGTGTTGATTTGAGAAAGGAAAAGCCTATCCAGGTATTCTTCCCTGTTCTGCAAATCCTGCCTGGCCTCAGTGTCAATACTTGGTTGGAGAAAATGAAAAAAAATCATCAGACAATGCAACATAACATTTTAGAGACACTGTGGTTTGCAGCACTGCCTAATTTTAAATTTCAGATTTACTGTCTACTGGTTGCTTAGTGTATCTATAACTTCTTTTCTTCATGTGTAAAATAGGGATCATAAGAATAGCTATATTTTAGAATAATTAGGAATAATAAAATGTAGTTCATTGTAGTTCATTGTAAGCATTCAATAAATGTTAGTTTTCAATATCCTTTAAATTTGAATCATCCTCATTTTTTAAATAAGGACACAGAAACTGAATAAGTTATCTCCCTTCAAGATCATCCAGCAAGTATTTAACTCATGAGCAAACTCAACAGGGATGAAATTAAATCCCTTGATTCACCTATGATACCTTCTGATACTCTATGGGAATCCTCCAGGTATATACATTGTCATACATGCCATCTTTTTCCCAACAAAGTACT